TGAAGTTTTTTGAAAATATTTTTATTTTATTGACGTGAAAAATTAATAGTTATTTAAAAATAGCCGTAAATGGCATCAAGCCTTTTGATTATTTTTAGTGACTGTTTGGCCCACATTATTTCACATTATAGCCTATGTTTGGGCCACTTTTTTACCTCATTAAAATGAAAAATTCTACAATTTTTGATTTTTTCACACTAAATAATGGAATTTGCAGTCGCTCATTGCAGTAGTCGTTTTATGTGGCACGCACATGGCATATAATTATTTGATGCATTAATATGGTAGTTTTTTGACCACATTAATGCATTGAATACACACTTGACATATTTGTGCCACATAGGGCGATTGCTGCAGTGAGCGACTGCAAATAGCATTATTCTTTCACACTTCACATTCACGACCAGATTTCTTCCACATGGACCTATGTAATCCATTATGTATAATAATTATATATATATAGATTTATCCTTTTAAAAAAGCATTTTCATATATTTGTCTTTCACGCTTTTCTTGTCACACTGTGATTTGTGCGGCGGCTATTCCCAAAAGTGAAAACGAGAAAAGGTCTTTCCCAAACAAGCGTGAAGTTTTTTGAAAATATTTTTATTTTATTGACGTGAAAAATTAATAATTATTTAAAAATAGCCGTAAATGGCATCAAGCCTTTTGATTATTTTTAGTGCCTGTTTGGCCCACATTATTTCACATTATAGCCTCTGTTTGGGCCACTTTTTTATCTCATTAAAATGAAAAATATGACTGTTATCCATCAAATCAACATTTAAATTCAAATTTTTTATCTCTTTTGTGGATCCCAATAACGACTATATTTTTCATTCTCATTGTACAAAAAGTTGGCTCAAACAGGGCCATAATGAGAAAAATAATAATTTTTTAATGAACGCGTAATTATTTTATTGGAGAATGTACACTTACAAGAAAAGAGATGAATAAATTATAATTTAATGAAAAATAATGAACCTTTCTCCACTAAATTCGTACAACCTTTGTCTCCATTTTGATTTGACTTCAAATTTAACCACAATTAACTTCTGCTTGAAGTCCGCCCCAATTCGCGGACCCCAAACTCACATTTCATTTCACCTTAATCTCCAGTCCCTCAAAAATTGCACTCGCTCACGCGCTCCACCGGTTCTACTGGTCACCTTTCATCTTTTCCGCACACCTACAAGTGATTTCCATGCGGGTTTCCGGCCCAGCCGTTCTTGTAACGTTCGTTGACTATAAAATTGCATTATACAACTATGGTCCACTGTAACTGTTGCGATTCTAATATGATTGGCAGCTTGATGGAACACGCAGACGATTGTCGAATAAAAAACTTCCACGTCATATTGCGTTGACCGTAATAAAATATATTGTAACTTTCAGGTGAATTTCTTGACAAAAACCTACTCGATTTCAGAAAAAACTGTAACCGAAATTTCGGGTCTTTATTCCAGTGCCACGCAGCATTTGCACCATACCCAGTGACGTGAGGGGAGAGAGAGAGGGGTTTGGGGAAATCTTAAAAAAATTATATATTTTTAATATTTTTGGTGTTATTTATTTGATTCATTTTATGATGAATATGGTAAATAGGGTTGTTTGATTAATTGAAAAATTTATTGACCCTATCCAAGATACAAAGTTTGTCCATTTTTAATGTTGCAAATCATTAAAACAAATAATCGACACGGAGTTAAAAATACATATATTAAATGTGTTCGAACAGATTAAAAACATTTATTTTAAAAGATCGGAGATGGAATAGTTTATGTCATTTTATACTGAATGGACTTTTTGAATTCGTGCGGGTGAACTTACGCGATGATATGGACTCGTCGTTTTGTTTTTCACAAACTTTGTCATTAAAATGCGTGATAATAAGTGTCATATGTGTTGACTTTAGTTTATTACATTTTATTCGACAAATTGGATCGTCATGCATATGTAATAATTTTGAATATAGAACATAAAACAATAATCTTTTACTTTTGTAACGCTTCTAGTACATAACGATAATTTAGGACAAAGATTTAGTTGAATTTCTTTACAAACCTTTTTGCATAGTCGATAAAAAGAGTTCGTTTCGATGGAAGAGAATCCGATCCCGTTACTTTTAATAGTGTCTATCAATGAAAATTTCATTGCGTTTGTAATAATTGAGCTAAGATTACAAATGTTAAGATAAATAAATAATATAAACAAGAGAGAAATAAAATTAGCCAAATAATTTCTCCAAAATTTACTTTTTCTCAAAATAAATTTTTCCAAATTATTCTATTGGTGGTTCATGCAAAGACAGAAACAATGAATGACAGACGATTGCTTCACGCCTAATCCACTTTAGATCAAATATTCATGTGGAAAAAAAATTTAATGCAAAATTAACTTATTATCACTACTTATTCATTATAAGAAAATATTGCATTATTGCTCCCCAAACGATTGTCTCAATAGCAAATTAGTACTCAATCTTTAAATAAACAGGTCGGTTCTCAATTTTTTATTTTTTATATTTTTTGCACAATAAGTACAAATTAGAATAAAACTCTTCACAAAGTCAAACATGGACCATTTCACCATTAAAAAAGATTTGTAGCATTTCCGTCATTGTAGACTGCTTTATACTTAAAGTAAAGTTCAAATGAATATAAAGCATTCTCCGATAGCTTAAACATTTAAAACATATTTGAGAATTGTTCATAAACAGTTTAAATAATTATGAGTGAATAAGTGGGTAGTACTTATATATAGCACATAACGTATGAATAAAAAATGTTTTTTTATTGATTATAATAGTTTATAAACATGTTAAATCAATAATTGGCCGCTAAACTTTTATGAGGTTTCTACTTACTAACTCATCTTTAAACTGTTATTCAACACTTGCGTCTTTTAGATAATTGCTCATTCTCCATCCTTTAAGAAAAATGGTTCCAATCGTTGATGAAAAATCTCATGGTGATAAAAGAAAATTCCACGTGACAAGTTGACAGCGTGAAATCGATCCAAGTAAATAAAATTGCTGTGAGGAAAGCACGATTTTCTTTTAATTTTACGAAGACTAATGTTGTAAAATGAAGGATGCTGGGTATGATTTTGCCTAGTTGTGACATATTTCATGCCATCATCTAGGCATGCTAGATTCCCGTTTTGTCACGTGGAATTTTCTGTCTACAATTTGAACATTTTTTTAATGAGTAGTAGATGTTTAATTAATTGAAAGATGGATGAGTGTTGAGTAACCTTTTAAAATTGAGCCGAGTAAGTAGAAGTTTGATGAAAGTTTAATGTTAATTGATTTAACACATCTATAATCCTACAATGGTTAACAATGCATTAGAACAAGGGCAAAAGACTTGATTTAGATCTCACCCGTACCCATTTATTGAAAATTATGAACACGTAGGATTTTAATGAGAAAAAATGAATATGACTTACAAGCGAGGAAGCGTGTTTAAAACAATGCCGAAGGATGAGGATTTAACGACTTTAAAAAAAAAATGTTATTTTAGATAATTGTGTATTGCGTTGTTTAAAAAATATAAGTTTGTAGTTCATTTCTGACACAAAATAGATATAGTTCTTTAATTTAAAAGAATACGCATAGTCCTCTTTAAAAATTTTAAACTTTTAGATGAGATGATTACAATTCATTAAAAGGTTTGGTAACAACATATCCTTCTTAGAGGTTAGGGTAGTTATAGGAAATAAATATTGGGACCAGTGATGCAATTTTGAATTTCCTTGTTATAAATAATAATGATGGTATTGAAAAGTTGAAGAAAGAGAGGAAAATAAGACAGTAGAGAGAGAGAGAGAGAGAGAGAGAGAGTAAACATAAACGTAACATAGGAAATGGAGAAGAAGAAAGGCACGAGAAGAAGAAGAAACACCTACTGAATACAACTTTTCTTATTCGACTTCTCTATCCAGATCTGCATATACTAAAACTGTCCCTCAATCCCTGTATATTTGTGCGACATATGCAAAAAAATTGGTAATGGAGCTGCTATTGCTGCTGCTGGGTTTTGGTGTTCATACTGTTAACTGGTAAAAGGTTCTGTCTTTTGAAGTTCTGTTTACTCGATGATTTTTATTGAATTTGTGAGAAATCTTGCATATATGTTAGATTTTATTGATATATACAGTTTATCTCATGCATGTAATCTGATTTTCATCGTGCTTCGTTAATTTTCGATTTTTTGATCAACTTTAATTTTTTTTCTATACAGGAAGGATTCTGCTCGTATGAATGGCGTTTGATTTTATTGGTATATGAATGCTTAAAAGGTGACTTTTTGGACTTTTTTTTCCCCATTTTTTGTTCTCAGCTTGATTACTTTTATTTATTTATTCGTTCTCTTGGGTTAGGTTGGGAAGAAGTAGAAATTAATTTTTTTGTTTTGTTTTTTCAGCAGAATTAATTTTGTTTTTGATTTTTAATTAATTATATATGCACTTTTTATAATTTTTATGGATTTTCCATTATTAGAGAAATTTGTTTTTTTCATTTTTTTTTTCCAAATTCATTTTCAGCCATTGAGCAGCGAATTTGATTACAATGTGATTTTTAAAGTATAAAAATAAATAAAAAAATAAAAGGAAAGGTATTTGAAATTTGATGTATATTAATTATTGGTAAGGCCTGATTTTTTCCTCCTTTCATACTTAAATTTCTTTCCTTTTATTTATAAATAGACTGAGAAACTTTTAAAGATGCTATTTATTTTACTTTTCCCTGTTCTTACATTCATAATCTATATGTTTTTGCTCACTGTGATGATAAATTGGCAGTTTGGTTGATTTCAGTGGCACTTTACCTCAATTTTTATGTGATTTTTCAATTTAGCTTTTAATTGTTATTGTTTCCTTTCTCTTTTTGATTAACTTATCAGAAAATTTATTAATTTTTACTTTTGCAGTTCGATCTTGGCCTGGAAGAATTTGTAACTGTATCATCTCCTATTCCGGTTTACAAAATCAAAGATATGGTGATGAAAATTAATAACTTGACTGTTGAAACTGAAGATGTGTTTGCAAGTTTGCTCGACTTTGCTGCTAACAATGACGTCCAGGGCTTTAAAAGGTTGGTTGATCGTGAACCGTCCATTGTTGATGAAGTTGGACTGTGGTATGGACGTCAAATGGGATCAAGGCAAATGGTTCTTCTGCCTAGAACTCCATTGATGATGGCTGCCACTTATGGTGGCATTGATGTTTTGAAACTGATAATTTCTTTGCCTGAAATTGATGTGAATCGACCATGTGGCATTGATAAGACAACTGCTCTTCACTGTGCGGCATCCGGTGGATCCATGAATGCCGTTGATGCTGTGAAGCTACTATTGGAAGCAGGAGCAGATCCAAATCAGGCAGATGCCAATGGCTGTTATCCTCTGGATGTTATCACTGTCTCACGGAAGTTTTACGATATGAGAACTTCCCTCAAAGTTCTTCTTGCAACCGACATTTCAGATTCAATACGTATACCTTTCTCATTGTCTCCCAGAAATGGATCCTCCTCATCTCCTTTTGAGTCAGTACCTTCTCCTATGGTGTCACCCGCACCTGAGAGGAGACAATACCTGGTTGACCTAACTTTACCGGACATCACGAACAGCATCTATTCTTCAGATGAGTTCAGAATGTATACATTTAAGGTTCGACCTTGCTCTCGGGCCTACTCACATGACTGGACAGAGTGCCCATTTGTTCACCCAGGTGAAAATGCTCGAAGAAGGGATCCAAGGAAGTACCACTACAGCTGTGTACCTTGTCCAGATTTTCGAAAGGGGGCTTGCCGAAGAGGAGACATGTGTCAATATGCTCATGGAGTTTTTGAGAGTTGGCTCCACCCGGCTCAGTATAGGACAAGACTTTGCAAAGACAGTACAGCTTGTGACAGAAGAGTCTGCTTCTTCGCCCACAAGCAAGAGGAACTCCGACCATTGTACATCTCGACTGGTTCTGCCATCAACTCCCCTCGCTCAAGTGTGTCTACTGTCACTGCCATGGATTTTGCTGCAGCTATGAATCTTTTACCGGTTTCTCCTTCATCAATCCAGGTTATGTCCCCATCTCCATTCACTCCACCCATGTCTCCATCTACAAATGGCATTTCGATCATGGGTTGGGCACAGAAAAATGTTCCTACACCAAGTTTACCTGGAACCAACCTCCAGTCAAGCCGTTTACGTTCTTCGCTAAGTGCTAGAGATATCCCCACAGAAGACTTGCATGAACTACCCCTTGTGAGTACCAACTCGCTGAACCATTCTGCTCGTTCAAAAACCATAGCACCTTCAAGTCTCGAGGATATTTTTCTTGCTGAGAGCTCTTCTCCTCAATTTTCCAATCAACCATTGGCTTCGGCTGCTTTCTCCCCTACACACAAATCAACGGTTCTTAATCAATTCCAGCAGCAGGCAATATTATCTCCAATCGAAACAGAGTTTTCTCCAAGAAATGTTGACAACTCTTTAACCTCATTTGGGACTCAATCTTCTGGGAGGATGTCACCCCGGAGCATGGAGCCTATCTCACCAATGAGTCCTCGCATGCCAATTCTTGCTCAACATGAGATGCAGAAGACACAGTTTCGAAGCCTCAGTTCGCGTGCTCTAAGCACTAATGCTAAAGATGCTTTTGTCGCTTTGGATAGTACATGGCCATACGCGAGATTTGCTACAGGTAGTCCGTGCAATCTCCATGAGGAATGTCGGCTAAAGAGATCCTCATCGTTTGATCTTGTGAACAACGGAGAGGAGCCTGATTTATCATGGGTTCAATCACTTGTTAAGGAATCTCCTCAGGAAATGAATGAAAAGTCTGCACCAACAGCTTGCTCCAAGGATACTGGTACGTCTTCTGGTCCGAGTCCAAATATGAATTCCCAGTTTGAACAAATCGATCATTCTGCTTTGGGTGCATGGATGGAGCAAATGCATCTTGATCAGCTGATGGCTCAGTAAATGTCGCAATTACTTTTACTGAGCCTTTAGGTACACAAGACAGAAGGTTTTAGGCAAAGTACTGCAAGCTTTAGGAAGAAGGCAATGTGGTAAGGATGGAGTTTCGGAAATTCTGAAGAATTACTAATCTATAGACATTTCGATTTATTTTTGAAACTAGGCACTAGGAAGTAGGAGAAAACTTTGGGTTAATCAAAAGTAGTAGTAATGAGTTTGCGTAATTACTCTTGCAATTACCCTTTTGGCTTTTTAGGTCTTTATTCGGAAATGTTTCTTAACTCTGGTAGCATAAATTTCTGATGCAACGAAAATAGTTACTAAGGGTTTGTATAATGTTACTTTTGAGTCCTTTTCTGATGTTGTTACCTGGAATAATGTTAGCATTAGGATAAGGTAGACAACAGGAACTGTATGAAAACTGATGTAACATGGAGACAATTGTTACAAGTATTAATCTTAAAAAAAATAAAAAATACTGTTATCAGTATTAATAATCTGTTTCTTGTCATTTCTTTCTTTATTTCTAAAGTGTACGTCTATTCCATTTTTGAATGTCCTTCATACTTCCATATTTGGTAACATTTGTGACGATAAGTGGATTACAGATTGGAAAGTTGGATGTGTTCATAGATGATGAGGACAGAAAATGGTATATTTCTTTACTTTCTCAGATTCTCTTTCTTCTCTATGAACTTTATGGATATGAGATGTTAGGGTCCGTTTGATTGCAAATGTGAAAAATGGGTGGAAAGAAAATGAATTTCAGGGAAAGTAATTGCTTAGAAATTATTATTTTAATTACCAAATCAAGCGATTGCATGTAGTGTAAAGGATGAATATGATATTAGGAATCATTAAATCCATACATGTGTACAACAGTAAGAATGTGTGTTTGATATTAACAAAGGAATTGGGAGAAAAAAGAAGTTTAGTGTAGTAATTAACTCCGGAGAAAGCCCCATGGTCCAGTTCTTGTTCCAATCCTGCACTTTTAAATATGCAAATGTTAAGCAATTAGATTTTAGACAGTGATGCTGTTGAACTTCTATTCAGTAGTATGAACAAGGTTCTCGAGCATTTTGTTATGAACTTGCCCCTTCTGCTTTCATGTGGAACTTAGCTCCTTAAATTCGCTCCTTGCAGCACCAACTTGAGTTAGCCTCTCTTGATTGGCAGCAGTTGGATGTGCAGCAACGGAGGGTCAAGTTCATGACAAGTTGTTTCTTTTAAGGTTGTTGCATCAAAAGAGTAACCATATGTAAAATAGAATTTGTGAAGAGGTCGGCTGATGACATACCTCAAAAATCCAGCCAGTGCCCGCAAACTCATAAAGATCGACAAGGCAATCCATATGCCCACAAAACCATGACTAGAAGATAGAAAAAACAAGAAAAAGATACTCGATGCTGCAATTAAAACCTGTGTCAACAAAAATCAAGAAAGGTAAGCTCAAAGTGAAGCCGTCTCTACGTTCTTAATCGCTGTGAGGAAATAATGGAAATTGTGTACTTGCCATGGAATATGCAGAATAAGCAAAATCTGATGCTCCATAGTTTATTCCATCAAAAACAAAGGCCAAGGAATTAATTGGTTGGGTCACTGCCACAAACTACACGGTAAAAATAAACGTTGTCAGCACAAATGTGAGCGAAGAAAACAGAATCGTTTTCGTTTTGTTGAGAGATTAAGTTACCGGGATGCCTAAATGTAAAATGCGATGAACGGTTATATCCTTTGTAAAGAGTTCAGATGAAAATTGTAGTATAACAGCCACAACAAGAGAGAGAACAAGCCCCAGAACCAAACTCCACTACAGATTAAAGACATCATTAGTACTGGATAGTAGAAGGGCAGAATAAAAGTAAAAGACACAAGAAAAGGACTAAGAATTAGAATTGATGACTCGAAAAACTATGCTACCTGTAATACACGAACAGCAGCGGCGGTGGCCCTCTCATAATCTTTTCTTGCAAATGCATTGGCCAGAATCGCCTGTATAACAATTTGAAGGCACACATAGATTTATAGTGGTTCACCCTCAATACAAGAGGTATGTTCACTGGTCGTTCCAAATTTTTTCACAATGATAGAAAAGGACACTAGAAGGGGTTTTTCGCACACGTCTTTGTCTTGTGTAGACAAAAGTGGTTCCCTCTAAAATCCTCGGAATATTAAGATGACCTAACACGTGCAGATGACTACCAAATAAGGGAGGGACCTACCGCCTCCCTGCATACTCCAGTCAACCTTACTGAGAAGGTTGATCCGTAATGAAGGGGAAAAGAGTGAGTGCAATTAGGCTCCACATAGACCAACAAAGATGACAATGAAATAAGGAAAATAAAATAATTCTTACTTGTCCAGCTACAGCTAATCCATCAGCAAGCAATGAGGTTGCTAACCAAACTTGCAAGCACACCTGAAAGGCAGCCATGGATGTTGATCCCAGTTTTGCAGCCAATGAAGCTGCCAGTGTTATACAGAACGTTGCTGCAATTACCCTGAATAACAAAAGCAATCCTGGCCCCAAGTATCATATAAAAGAAGTTATGCTTTTATACAGTTGATTTCAGAAGAAGAATCATGTGAGGAGTTAAGATGGTTGGATTGGCAAGGGAATAGAAATTGGCATTTTTTCACCATGGTTTATAGAGAACAAATGTCACATATTAGTATTTACCGAAGCAAATTGATGGTAACTCAAATAATAGACAATTTATGTATAGAAACACTAAATCTATTAGTAATATGATTCAATGAAATTTACAATTTGAAAAAGAGTGCAATTCCAGTGAAACCGTACGGCAAGACTATTAAACAAGAAAAAAATTTAAGCAAAAAGAAATATAGTAAGAATAAATTCCTATTTCAGCTTTATTCGTGTTAAAAATAACACATATTATAAAATTAGGAAATTAATTAATTTCCACAGCTATAATGTGCTTATGAAAATGAAACATTTATGTATTATATGTTGCGATGGCTTGTCTATTTATCCACATTATTTCTTCAAGTCATAGAATACAACAATGTCTAGTCCACCGATTCTGTCTATAAGTTTGGCATTTTCATAGAGTCGCTTTTCCATCTCTTTACAAGTTACAAAACACTCGATATCAAGATCCCCTATTCCATGTAAATCGTGAAGCTTTTTTTCTTTTTGAATGAAGGGAAGATGATTAAATGGTAAAGGTTATACGAAGATGCACAATCATGGCGTGTTTGGTAACCAGTGCTAGATGGGACTGAACGGTACAATTGACAAACTTTTCACTTCATTTTCATCTCTAGTATGCCTAGTATCGACTAATTCAACTTACCAAACATGCAACAAAAGCACGAACAGAATAACATAATGCAAAGATATACGAACTCCTAAATCCCTCACCATTCTTGAAAAACCGTCCAAGTTGCAGGTCCGTAACTGTTGGAGGCAAGAGATTAACTTTTTCCATTAATCTCCACATGAGCATTAAGGTAATTAAGTACCTATAATACCATATGGAAAATGACTAAATGAGAAGAAACTCTAAGTGAACCAAATAATAACTCGATGAAATGCAGATTCTAGAGATAGTTCAAGTTGAAAAATGAAAAATGCTTCAAGAAGTGATAAAACTTACTGGGAAATGACATGGGCAATGGCTGCACCGCTAACACCCATACCAAATAGGAAGATGAATATTGGGTCCAATACTATATTCGCCACATCTCCAACCACTACATTGCAATGCTAAAAGTTCAACAAATCATCCTTTATTTGAACGCCTACTAAGATTGGATTGCACTAGCAGTTTTCGTATTTTTATATGGATGACTTTCAAGCTTGCAGTTGAGTATTTTCTAAATGAATATAAATTTTAAACCATATACAGATGTATATGTATAATGATGAGATATGTCAAGTTAATAACGTGGTGATCATATGTACGTTTCTAATTAGCAATTAGCTTGAATAAAAGCGAAATATTTGCTTACTAGTTGCACACAGAGGAGTTTTTGTATCCTTAATACCCTGAAAAACACCTTGCATGGACAAAGAAAGAAGAACAGCTGGAGCACCGAGTGACCTCAATGTTAAATACCTTAGTGCTGGTTTCAGCATAGGCGAATTCTACACAAGTAAAATTAATATTTGAAGCTGTTCATCTCATGATATAGTAATTGCTTATGAAAACGGAAAATTTATGCTAGAAAAGAAACATATAAGCAATTTTCTGGAGTTCACGGATTCCACTATTGGAATTCTATATTAGGAGCTAAAAATATTTTAGAAACATCTGTATTAAACTACAAACCAGAAAAGGTATCGACTTTTTAGTAGTAAAATGTGAGTTTTTTTTGTGCTGCACAAAAGCTATTTCACATCCGAAGGAAAGAAGTATCAAGAAGCCCAAATAAGACTTACTGATTTTATACCCATGTAGTCAAGAACGGGTTTTGCAGCACAAATAAGGAATATAGATTGGATGAGGCCAAGAATGGCGCCAATCGCCATTGCTGATGAAGCTGATGATATATGCCTTTTCTTATTCCGACCGTCACTAGTTTCTACACAGTTAATGGTAGAAGGTGACTTTCTTGTCAACTCCAATTATCATGATTTAAAGTAAAAAACCAAACTTAGTGAGAAAAATGTAGTAAAAATTTATTGACCACTTGCTTATGAAATTCAAGAGGATAGGACTGGTGCATACCGATTTCTGGTATAAAATCTTCCTTTTCACTATCTGCAGAAAACCCTTTTTCCAATAATTTAATCTCCTCTGTTTCACCTTTCAAACTTTGCATAGCATCTTCTTCAGCAACAAAAGAAGTCGTGACACTAACAAGTGGGAAAATTGCAATTTTTGATACTTGATTAATGACAGCAATTGCAACTCCTACTGCAGCTAGCTCCACAGGACCTATAGGATAAACAAGTAAGAAAAAATAGACAGGAATAGAGAACATAAGGTTGTTTTCATTTTAGTCAAGTAAAATCAAAACTCAGATAGATTATGTTCCCAACAGATGACGTGTTATTGATGAAATCTCATAAAATCAGTGACCAGGTATTTGTAAACATAAGCATAATATAAACGAATTAATAAGAATAGCAGTAAATCCTTCCTATCATAGCATAATGTAGTTCTTTGCAATACAAGTACACGAGGGTTTCAAATAAAATTTCATCAGGAAAGATGATAAAAGTCTAGAACAGAATTTCTCTACATACATTAGATCTATTGAGACAACGAAAAGATCCACAACAAAAAGGGTCAAATCAATTAGAAGAAATATTTGAATACGAAATTTTCATTAGCCATGAAACACTAGACATGAAAACAAGAATCAGGAGACACATACCTATATGGCCAATAAAAGCAGTATCAATTAGAGAAGCAATAGGGTCTGCAGTTAGAGCCAGTGCTGCAGGCAAGGCAATCTGTGCCATTTCTAGACCTAACTCGTCTTTCTTGAAAATTTCCCTACAAAGCATTAGAAACATGCATCAATTGAATTGCGTTATTCTTTTTTTCTTGTTTTCCATTTCCCTTGGACCAATTCACGAGGAATGTCAAACAGAACAGGAACAATGATTAAGATTAAGTTTACTTATCATGTGCTGCTTGTTAATATAAATTATTCTATAAACAAAAGCAAAGTCTCTCCCAAAGGAAGTAAAAGCTTTCCAAGAAACTATACCATGGATTCCTGAATAAACCCCATAAAGGATTATCACCCATATTGTTCCACGGTGAAAAGAGCACCCTAGTAATCACGTTCTGTTCCCCAATTAGTAGTTAATCTCAAAGTTCACAGTTAAATTATAACTCATATAGGCAACTGTATAGAAGGTGCTAAAAATATAAGAAAAAGAAAAAGCTGCAGAAAAGAGAAAAAATCTTGAAGAAAAATGAAGATAAAGAATACCCAGAAATGATCTATAAAAATGTATATATTTTGATTATTACAATCCCAAGAACCAAGAATACTTAGCAGTCAAGAAAACGGAATTATATGTACTGGAAACAAAGAAATATTAATAAAACAAGGTTGTAACTGAGCAACTATGTAACCAACCATTTTGACCAGAACAATCGCATATACCTTCCTCAGTTGTACAAAACCCAGAATGAGACGACAAGTTGTGTAATAAAACTTGATAAAATCATAAAATACTTTACAAAAGAGGTAAGAAAGATTCTTCCAAGAAAATATAAGAGATTATAGCCACGAAAAAATTGCATTGGAATTTCTGCAGCAACTGAAGTTGGACAATAGGAAAGAGGGAACGGTATTTACAAAATTCAGATGGTATTAGTAACGAGTTATGGGAAAAAAATAGTGACGATTCCTTTTGTTTGGTCCCAAATCTGACGTAGGGCAGTGACTTCGCAATCACTCAGACAATTGGCTGATGCGTTATATTTCTTAAAAGTTAAAACTGCTCCTCTGCTCATGTCAAATACTCAAAAAACATTGTGCAATGGAAATAATGATTGGATTGCCATGTAAGGAGTTGCCATATTTGAATTGCATTCGCATGCCAGTCCTGTTCCCCTTCGTTTTGGTCGGGGTTTCGTATGCACTGGTGTCAAACAAGGCCGAGTCATATTCCAATCTCAGAAGTCCTATTGGAAAATGGGGGTTTCCCAGGGATAAAGAATGAAATCTATCATGTTCCACGAGGAATATGCTTCTGTTTGAAAGCACGAGACCGATACATTTGAAATATAAGATAATCATTTCATGTTCTTCAGAAGCAAGTTTTAATCAAATAGCAAACTCTAGTTGAGAAAATAATTTTTCATCACTGGTTCAGTAACCATATAATTGTTGGCATTATAAGAAATTCAAATCCTTGTTCGGGGCAGAAATTTCAGAATTGGTTAAACATGGGGTGCTCTATCTGTCTATCAGATTGCTCAATCGAGCAGCATGTGACATTGGCAGCCGGGCAGGTCCTTTAGTTATGTCTTTGGAAAATGCAACAGGAAGGGCTTCCACTGTTAAATACTGGTAATAAAAGTTTCATTTCCATTTTGTACAATTGAGTTTGTATCCTTGGAGATTCTACATTCTTCGCCATCAATGGCAGGAGCTGGTGGAGATGTTGACATATGAGACTCACATGACAAATCTTTAAAGATGGGCATGTTTTCAAGGCTTGAGTCCTTGTATGAGATTGTTCTTTCAATTGAACAGCCTTATCTTGTGTCGAAACATTTTTCGTGCTACCCACCACTTCGAGGAAGACTAAGCTCCCACGTACTATACTCTTTTTGTACCTTGGAATAGAGGTCTATATGATGCTACAGATGTGGCTGTCCAAAGCGCAGCCACTATACTCAGGCTTGGTAGGATAGGAGTGTGCATGTCGGCCCTCCGGGTGCCATATTTTGGGGACTGGCAGTCTGAATTTCAATGGATGTATAGATAGGTGTTGGACTAACAAGTCAGGCTTTGCAGAACTGACTAAGGCCCTGTTTGAGCCACATTATTTTTTTCATTCTCATTCTTCTATTCATTTTTAATCACATTTTTCAATAAAATAATATTTTCCATTACATCAATAACTTTTCCTTCTTTTTCAACCACATATTCCTCATCAACTCAACACCAAAAATGCATTCTTTTTCAAAAAAAGTGCACCAAATGAGGGCTAAATAGCATTAATGGCTTTATTAGGGAAATTGGACAAAGGTCAAATGTACTAGCAATTCAATCACCAATAATCACCACAGGAGCACTTCCCGTCTTCAAACCGATGAAATCGATTGTTATCTCTGACGATAATTATCCGTCCAGTGCACTTGGACATAAACTTTATTGCAGTGTGGCAATCACCACAGATGCGCAAGTTCTTCATAACTCTAATTGGTCGTTCTGGTGGAAAGGTAATAAGTGCAAATGCAATGGCTAATCTCTCACTATGATATCGAATACTCTGGATCTTCTCATCAGCGCCAACTTCTTGTAGCACGAAACTCGTGTCTGCAACATAACCAACTCGCATCATATCCTCCCCTAGTTCCTCCAGCTTCCCATAAATCTCTTCAGATTTCGCATTGGCCCTATCCCCTGCAACAAATGTGTAAATCCTATTACCTTCCTCTACCCAGCTCAGACCAGTTTCCTTTTTCATTCCAAGGTCCCTCAGCATTTTCCTTGCTGTTGCAGCCTCTTTATATCTACCAGCAGCTGCATAAGCATTGGATAATAGCACGTGTAGGCCAGGGCTAACAGGGCCTAACTCAAAGACTCTATCAGCTACGTAACCTGCCAACTCTGTGTTTCCGTGAATTCTGCACCCAGTTAATAAAGCTCCCCACACAGATTCTGTTGGTTGCATCGGCATTTCTTTAGTAATTTCAACAGCTTCGTGCAATTTTCCAGCTCGGCCAAGTAAGTCAACAATCGAAGCATAATGCTGATCCCCTGGCGCTATACCTCGATCCTTCATCAACTTGAAGTAATATTTTCCCTCCTCAACCAGCCCCGCGTGGCTACAAGCATAGAGTAGACACAAAAATGTAATGAAATTCGGCTTCATTCCTACCCTTTCCATTTTCCCAAACAACTCAAACACGTTTTTTGTATGTGAATGTTGAGCACATGCGATCAACATTGCATTCCACATTCCTAAATTCTTATCTGAAACCTCGTCAAAAACAAGATATGCTCCCTCAATGACACCACACTTTGAGTACATGGAAATTAAAGAACTTCCCACAAAACTCGACAAATCATAGCTCATTTTCAAGCACAAACTATGCATCTGCTTCCCTAGTTCAAGCAAGGTCGAATTCCCACAAACTCGAATCACACTCGAAAAAGTAAAATCATTAACGCCCAAATCCTCAATCAAAGCGTCCTTAAAAAGCCTCAAAGCCTCCTCGCCTTCACCCATTTGCGCATACCCATATATCATCCCACTCCAAGACACCACATTTTTCCCCGGAATTTCATCGAACATCTTCCTAGCATCCACTAAATTCCCACATTTTGCGTACATATCCACTACAGAACTCCCAACAAACACATTAAAGTCAAACCCAACTTTCACTGCAAGACAATGTGTCGACTGCCCTGCACGATAATCATTCATCATCGCGCACGATTTCGTCACGCTAGGAAATATGTGGTCATCAGGATTCACTCCACCATTACGAAGCATTAAGCACAGATACTGAAATGCTCGAAATGGGAGCTCATTTTGTGCGAAACAAGAGATTATAGAACTCCAAGTGGTAGAAGACTTGAAGGGAGCCTCATCAAACAATTGTTCGGAGTGGTGTGGGAACTGTAATTTCGCGTAAAAGTTGATCAAATGGTGGGATATCAGTGGGATGATCTGAAGTCCGGATTTAATGACATGGGAATGAATAGATTGGCCATTTAAAAGGGATTTTGACCGCGTGAAGTCAAGCAAATGGTTGCAAATGGTTCGGTAGTTGTGCTCGAAGCTTTGTTGGTTGAGTGAGTTTTGGAAGAAGTGTGTGATGATAGAGTGTCTGGGGGGTGGAGGTGGTAGCAGGGGTTCTTTGAGAAAAGGGTGAAGCATTTAGTGAATATCTTAAAGAGGCTTGTGGTCTGGACGCATGGCGGCGACGGGCGGTTACGGAGTAGGAGTATCAGTTTTCTGCGCTAGGATGTGGTGCAGTGGTGGCGGCCGAAAATTTTGGTGTTAAGCTAGAACGTAGACAAGAATGGGCGGGTCTCTCGCACCGCCTTAGATGTTGAGTTGTGAATCGGTTATTCACTTATTCTTAGTGTGAACCGGCCGGTTCATTTTTTCCCCCTCTTCATCAATTTTGTAGTTTTTTTTTTTTTTTTTTTTTATATGAAGTCGTTTCCAAATTTTTTTTGGCATTTCACTCTAATCTTATTTTTTCTTCTTTTTCAACATTTATCATTCAAAGTAATGTCAACTTGTTTTCAAGTTTAAGTGCTTGTGGGGAATTATTTTTTGAAAAATAATTTTATGGTTAAAATGTAAAAATTATGAAAATACATGAAAAATGATTTCGTTTATTGGAAGTGATTGAAAATGAACGTGAGAAAAGATAATTCTTAACCTTTGCATTCAGTGTGCTAATTGTCGCAGAGGTTTGTTTCTTAGAATAGACTTTCCCAAGTTTTACGGACCTCAAGTTAGGTTGGAAAGCCCAAACAATTTGTCCATAGCACACTTGCGTATATGATACTAAAGAATATTTGTATTTAATGACATCAGTAGTGCACTTTTCTATAATATTGACAGTATGCCTAGCTAGCTATTAACGATATTATCGTGCTGCATAGGAAGTGGAGTACGGTTGGTTGGGTGACACCAAATTACGTATGTTGGTGAGCAATGGTCCAATGGATGAATTTTTTTATTTATAAAAAAGACATCAGTATTATTAAGGGTGTGTTTGAGTCATATTATTTTGGAAGCATATATTATGTAATAATAGATTGATAGAGAATGTGTGGTTGAAAAAGAATGAAAAGTTATTGATGTGATGAAAAATATTATTTTATTGAAGAATGTGTAGTTGAAAATAAGAAGACTAATTTTAATTAGGAAAACTAACAACTAGGTCCCTAACTTCTGAAAAAATTACAAATGGGTCCCAGACATTTTTAACAAAACGACTTAAAATTTTAAGGTTAGCCAACGCTTTCGTATTTGACTAGAAGAACCGATTCTTTGAGAAACCACCCGAATAAATCGGTCGCTCTCTCTCTATATATTCTTCTCTTCTCCCCCTCTACACAAATTCTTCAGTCTGACTAATCAATAATGGAAGAAGAAGATATGCAGCAACCAATCGGGAGACCCTCTCTGTATCCATCTACACTCTTAATGTCAGAGCCAGGTTCAGGTTCGGGTCCTGTCCCGGGTCCCATGGTATCCGCAACCTTGGGTCGGGTCATGACCGCTCTCCTCAACGCTAAGCCAAAAAAACTCCAAGACTCCATTTCCCGCCTCAACTCTCCTCCCAAAATCGCCGCACCAGTTACTGGTATAAATACATAAGAGTAACCTTGTTAAGTAGCTCAAGTACTTATACATAAGTTATTTACTGTTTTTATATTTAAACAGCATTGAATTTTTCCCTTTTAACACATACAGGCAAATTTTTTTTATTTTTGATAAGATAAATTGGAAAAAAGGTCAATCCTTTTAATTATGTTCGATTTTTTTACAGCTTCATTAGAAGATTCGCTGTGGTTTCTTCACAAGTACGTAGGTGATGCCGTGGAAAAAAATGAGTCATTGGACCAAGTTCTCATTCCCATGATTGAACATGTAATTAATTTTTCAATTCCCATTTTCCTAATTTTACAAGTAATCGTCAGCATTTTGCTAAGTTTAAAATTTCATTTTAAGTGATTTCTGCACATGTTTGGATGAATTACTTATTTTACGGGTTACTATAAAATTTAAAAAATTAGCTTATTCAAATCGATATAAATAACTCTCTTATTTTAAACTTTGATAAGAGAAAAAAAATTATTTGTGTACTTGTAAGTATTTTTAAAGATTAGCTCATATGCACTTATTTTTTTTGATTAGCAAAATATGTTGGAAATATTGAAGAGGAGAAAATGAATATAGAAACTTGAACAAATTGAAATGAAGAATGGGGCTCGAACACGTATATGATACACTGTCCTAAAAATGATATTTGTCTTCTCTAGTATGCTTTTAGGATTTTCGGCAAATAGTTTAGAGGATTGATAAGCCTTCAAGGAAGAAGCATAAAAGCACAATTGATTCTTCCTAGTTTTTATTTTTGAAAACTTTTCAGAAGTTTGAATATTTGATGAATGAATTGGAATATCTCAAGTAATGATTTACTTCTTTTTTTTATATTTGGAAACGAAAATTTATCATCTAATAGAGTATTCCCATCCATATGCCTCGAACATGTCCCAACAATTCATAAAAAGTTGGAAACTTTTCATGAATCAACACTAGATTTCAAATGAAAAAAGCTATAACGTTGAACAATGCGTACACATGGTTAAATCCTTGCGTACGCATAGTAGAAGCAAAATTGCTTCAGTTCCTGCAGACAATCCCTTGTATACGCATAGCCATTGGCCAGTGTGTACGCGTAGGCATAATTTCCCACATTCCAATTTATTTTCAATTCATCACTTGGGCCAAATAAATCTCTTTTCATGCCCATGAACTAATATAAAAACATTGTTTTGAACAAATTTACTACAAAATATACTCATTTTTCTACATTGCACTTGCTTAAGTATAGAGCACTTCTCTACCAAATTATACAAATCATTTACTATCAGTAAGCAATATGATTGCGTTTGGATAACGATTAGTGGAATATTAATACTTTTTTTTTGTCAGTCGTTGAGAGCAAGAGAGTTGAAACACGGAAACCAGGCTATGGCACTTCTGAACTGGCTGTTTCAAGATGACTTATTATTCCAAGATACTGTAGGAAATTTAGCAGGAATTATATCAAGAAAGGATGATCGTTATATTGCCCTTGGGTGGTGTATTCTTGGACGCAGCCTTATAGAGTACGAGAATACTGTGAAAAATATTGCGACTGATGGTAACATTTCCATTTACTTTAAATCAACTTGATGTCAAATGTGATATTTTTGGCACCTTCAGTGCAGCTCCTACTATCTTCAATTTTTTTTCGTGGCTAGTGGGGGGATTGGGGACAGTTAGGTATGTTATCATGTTCATCTCCTCCTAATTAGTAAACTAACCAGGGTTTGTTAAGTTATTATTTTTTCTCTTCTTTTTCCTTTTTGTAGGAATAAAGAAGAGGTATAATGCAATGTTGAAGATGTTTTGTTCATGTGTTACCCATCTTTTATCAATAACATGCAATGGAAGGTATCTATCCTCTTATTAGTGCTATCAAATAACTTGAAGTTTACTCCCGCTTGTCCTTTAATTTTTCACTTGATGAGGTTTTACTTAGTGACCATTACTTGACTGCAGCAGGTTGAAGGAACTCTCGCTTTATTTTACTAAGTGAAATTGTATAATATATAATTCCCAATTTAAACATATGTTGTAGCAATTGGTTAAGGCTTTTGTTTCTGGACTTCAATGACGAGTTGATTTTATGTATCATTTCTCTACGGAATTGTTCTAGGAACCTGTACTTTAAATAAATCTCCTACCTTCTAGCTTTTAGTTAAGAGATCCCAAGGTAAGACTGTTCAAATGGTAACTCTACTCCTCGTTATAGTGTTGACTAATGGAAAAAATTTGTTATCTACACCTCGTATGAATAGCCTTTCTTGAACATTATTGTTATATATGCAAATAAAATTTTCTTTATATGTCAATCATGATCCCTGTATTTACAAGCATCTGGTAGAATATTATTGTTAAGTTAGTGTAGTTATGATGTGGTTGATATTCATAATAAGGTATTTTTTCTTTAGATATAGTGCTCAGTTGATTTGCATCAATGATCCTGAGGGCAGATGATTGGCATGATTTTATGTGCCAAATATAAAGTGTGCAACCTTTTAATCTTTTGACCCGGTATTTGATAAATGATATTGCAGCAATTTGCAGGAGGGATTTGAGTTGCCAACTCGCCTTTCAGTTGCTGCTGCTGATTTCATATTATCTCTTACAGTAGCATTGACCAGAAAGGACATGGTGTCCAGTTCTTCAGATATCAGTAAAAAGTCATCCGTCCTTAATGCAAAAAATAGACCTATTGCTTTATTATCAGCTGATACCAGTGAAAGAGAAGCAAAGACTTTGAGCAAAGCATCTGAATTGCAGAGCAGCTTGGAAATGAAATTGTTGCTTTGGGATCATCTGGATCAACTCATGACTCTTGTGCAGAGACTTACAGCTGTATGTTGTTAACTCGGTATACATAAACTAGATCTTTGTGCAGATTATGTTTGCCTTTGTTCCTGTGTTGATTGAGGAGGTTTTCGATGTATTGGTTTTTCTATTGCTACTTGACTGGGTTATATATCTGGCTTTTAGTCTTGCATTATATATTAAAAGTAGATTACTTTGAGCTAATTTGATTTAGAATCTATATAATATATCAGAACTTGATTTTCATATTTTTTATTTTGATGCTTTATAGTCTTGTTTGGCAACCTGTTGCAAAGCTACAATGAGATTTACTTTCTTTTCCTTCTTTTTAAAATATACAGTGGGGCAGAAAAAGTCAGCCTTTGCACGCTCGAGGAGTAGAGAAAGTATTTAAGTGGTTGCTGGAAACGAAAAAGCGTTACGATTGTTTTCAAAATAAAGCAGGTGTAATTGATGTTGAATGTTGCAAGCCTTTTGTAATTGTGACTTCGTTTGACCCAATCTCCGTTCTTATGTATTTTATTGAATCATGTTGAAAGACAGACTTCGAGATGGTGAAGACTGGAGCATTGCTTCTCTCTTCTTGTTGGAAACATTATGGTGTGCTTTTACACTTAGAAGATTACAACTTTGCTCATCAATATAGAGAACTTTTGGACCAATATTTGTCTGGGATTCAGGTATGAATGATTGCTTTTGATATGACATTTTCATCTGGTGTGATTATTGAGAGAAGCAAGGACCTAAAACTCTCTCTCTCTCTCTCTCTGTGTCTTTGTGTGTTGCCTCTGGTAGAAATCCCCCAAATCTACAGGAATGTGATGGACTACAGTTTATTTGGTGGAATGTCATTTAGTAGTTGACACAATAATCTAAATCCCTACCTGTATAGATTATGAACTCGTGTTACAAAAAAGGAACACCTCATGGTCTCAAATTTTGGTCCATTTTCTGTTTGTTTTAAATTTAGAAGTCAAGGGAAACATAGATATGTGAAGGCACGTGCGTATGTTTATGTTTTTTCCACCCTGTTGTTCTTATATGTTTATTGATTTAGTTTAAATCCTGATGAAGATCATTTGCAGTTCTATGCAGATAATCATGCTGAAGAATCTAGTTCGAATAAGGACAGTGGAGTAGAGATCATAAAGTTTTTCCTAACTTGTCTTTCCCTTTTATTGGGCCGTTTAGATGACAAGAAATTTGGAGCTGCAATGACTGATTTTGGATCTCAGATATCTCAAGTTCTCATATCTCAGGTAGCATTGTGCAATGCTTATATCAAATTTCTTTATTTGGGCACAAGAATAGTTTTATTTTTTCGGCTTTAGAAGCTTTTGGTAAACACTTTCCTATTTAGGTGGAAATCTAGTTTAGATATGGTTGACTTTTTTCTTTAGCTTTTGGGGGGAGGGAATGATGCATTTGTCTATCTGTCGGAGGTTTGAGATGAAAGAACATTCTGCCCCCGGCAGGGGTGATAGGGTAATTGCGGCAAAGAGTAATTGATCCCGTGAAAGTCACATCTTTGACTAATATGCATGGGCTTCTGAGAGGATTCTTCAAGGGCTTGAAAGGCTGGACAGTTTTCCTTTCGTGAACCCTGTCTGGCCAGGTTTTGGGATCAAACCAATTCAAATTGAATCGAAAAACTCAACTTTTCAGAGCGGACCAATCTTAGTCCATAAACCTATAGGTCCCAGTAGACAGCAATTAGGACTTTCTTTTAGCCTCCAGCCCAAACGAAAAAAGATGGCAACTCTTGGCCCAAGATTGTATTTGGGTAAGGAACTTTGGATGAACTAATGCAAAAATCTTAGATTCTCAGTTGACTCCTTAACCTTGATAGGAAGATGGCTTATTCAATTATTCGTTCACAAGGGTAAGGAACTTTGGATGAACTAATGCAAAAACTTAACTCTTTCAACACTTCTAGACTTTGCTTTCGAGCTGGAGCTCCTCTTTCCGAAGAAGAGTGCATGCCCGAGTTATCTTAAAGTAAATTTCTGCCACTGCTTTTAAATGAAAATCATTTATTAAAAGTAACTCTGAGAGAAATGCTGCATTGGATTAATGCAGTTAGTCAATCTTATCCTCCAAGGAAAAGTAAATCTGCAAAATAGTAGAAAACTAGCAATATTTATTTGGTTTTGGCTGTACTATTATATCCTCATAGTTTTTGGGTGATATATCCTAGATTGATCTGATGTTAGCATATGTTTTTTGACGAGTTTCCAAGTTGACCTTGAAAAAAATTCTAAAGCCTGTAAAAACCCACGTTTTCCATGTGACTAGGAAATCTACTTTTCAGCTTGTTAAAATTGGTTGGGGCAAAGTTAATGATATGAAACTTCCGAGTAGATAAATTACTCCATGGACTTTCCCATCTTTAATGTCAATCAATCTTTAGGAGTCATTCTCGCTGGGAATATGTGGCCAATGCAGGCCATGTCTATGGGATAGAGTAATTTTTGTTCTATAAGCTTATATCATTGTCGTTAAAGCAATCATATGTGTTCAGCACTAAAGAACGTTTATTATAGCTAAGCTGTGCCGACGAGGAAGTAATCGATGGTGCAATTTGCATATTCAAAGCAGTCATGTGTAGGACGAACCTGTCTAAAAGCAGTCTTGATGACAATAGACAAATAGAAGCCATTCTACCTTCACTCCTACATCTTTTGGATGAGAGAGATGTGGCAGCGAAAGCAGTTGTTAATCTCATTGCAGAATATTGTTCCATGTATGTTTATTATTCACTTGCCAGGTTTGTTTTGTTAGATGCCATCTTTATTCCAAATGTGATGCATAATTGACTTGGCAGATGCCCAGATGGTTGGTGCCTGGAAGAAGTACTAAGGCGCATTGATTCTGAAAATGATGCACAAAGGATGAATGCTGTTGATGTTGTTTCAGATCTCATTCACATATCATCTGGGTCTGTTAATGTGCTCTCACAAGAAATGTGGTATGTGTAACTGCTTTCTGTTGATACTGTTACAGAGATGATTTAGGGATTTGATTTATCTATTTTTGGAATAACAATTCGGTTGTAAATACTTACCTTGTATAGCATCTTTATTCTTTCTATATAATGAGTAAAACCCTATTGAAAGGGCATTCAGACCAATTGACATGGTATCAGAGCCCCTACTCTGCATCTCGTTTCTGCGGTCTTAATCTGGGTCATCTCTATCGCAATTTTGTGCGTTGACGGTGGGAATTTTTTTTTCCCCTCAATTTTTCGCACATTTTCTGGGTCTTTGAGGAGAATCGGAGCTCTCTCTGTTGGTTTTCATTCTCGGTTGGCACTTTATTGGCTGTCGGAGCTCTGTCGGTGCGTGGGAGTCCTGCTTCGGGTTGCGGGTCTCTTATTCTGGTGTGGCTGCTGGTCGTCGGAACCTTCTGTAGTGGTTCCCGGCTTTCTGTGGTGGTGGCGAGGTGGTCGACAGACGGCAGTCGACGTTGGGAGCTCTTCACTGCTGAGTTGGGCGTGCGTTCGGGGTGTGCTGGGCCAATAGGTTCACTGTTTCCTTTTATTTGGGCCTGTTCTTGTGGGCTTCCTCGTTGTGGGCCTCAA